GGTGGGGTACAGTTGGGTGCAGTGGGGTAGGGTGCGGTGGGGTACAGTTGGGTGCAGTGCGGTGAGGGGGGTGGGGTGTTAAAGGTTAGAAAAGGAAACCAATAGCAGCATTAATACAACAGCTATGACCACAAATATATCAGAAACAATGACAGCAACAATGACAGCAACAATGACAGCAACAATGACTGCAACAACAATAGCTACACCAACTCAAACATTGACAATAACAAGAAAATACCACCCACCCACCACCGTGGGGGAGGTTGCTGTTTCCTTTTTCCTGCTTTTTTATTTCTGTTTTTTTTCTGTTTTCTTTTTGTTTTGTTTTGTTTTTAAATTAATTGTATTTGTCACTTTGGAGAAACATTGTAGAATCATCGACAAGGGAAATAACCGAATGATTAATCATATGACAGGTAGGAAGCATTGACGAGTAGCATCCCTTTAAAAGAAAATTCATTGAGAGTCGACACACAGCGAAACAACTTAACATCTGATAAATAATAGCATTATGTGTTGGATATAATCTTATTAACCCAGGTTCTGTATATCCCACAAAAAGGAAATCAGTTACCGGTACATCCGGAAACTCCTCCGTGACGTGATTCCGGTTAACCAGATCCCTGTAGGTGTCCCCCAGCAGGCCAGTCCCGGCCCCCTCTATGTACAGGACTCGGGTGTGGCCGTACATGTCAAGGTCGTACAACAGGCTCGGCTCCACCTTGCGGGGTAAACAAATTTAAAAATAAATAAATAAAACAATAAAGGAATAAAGGAATAGACAAATAAAGGACTAAATAAAGAAACAAATAAAGAAAGTTTAAAAAAAAAGTATAATCAACCAATCAATTAATCAATCAATCAATCCATCAATCAATTGAGGAAATTGCTGTTTATTGGTACCGTCGAAAAATTCGGATTACAATGGCAATCATACACAAAAACACACTCAAATACACAAATATATAATATACAAATAATACCAAGCACACAGTAGTATTACTCATCCAATGTAAATAATTTTACCACCATGTAATCCGCTAGTCGTCACTGTGCAGCGCTCTGTCGTATTTTCTAAAGACAGGTTTATCGTTTCTTGCTCAAGGATACACTCCTGTGACCACCCGTCTAAACCCTGCGTCATAGACACCTGTTTGACATCATTTGTGAGTCCAAAACTCACTAACCACTCGGCCACAGGAGGTGAGAGGGTGTAAGCAGAAGCGAGAGAAGGTGATTGGAAATTTTATAGCGGTGGAGGAGATACGATAAAAGTGGGATGGAATAAAACAAAGATCAGATGGGACAAAATTAGAGATTAAAATAAAATGAGATAAAATGGGATGGGATGAGACACAATGAGCTGTCGTTTGTTGTGTAGTGGCTAGGTGCTTTGCCCTTGCATGCAGGAGACGTGAGATCGATTCCCTATTTGGAATAATTTTTATCGGGGATCTCCGTGTTTCTCCAGGGACGTCGAATGTCTCTCAACTTATAAACACACACACACACACATACACATACATATTTATCCACACATACACGAATCCATTCACATTTGACATAATAATATACACTTACAAACACATTACATGCACACACAGATACACACATATGTACACACATATGCACACACACACATGCGCGCACGCATGCTTACAGACATGACCACACACACACACAAAGTGATGACACGTATACACAAACAC